AGGTTTAACCTCTACATTTATTTGTAAAAATTTAACTAATATGTTGCTGTATTATTATTACATTCAGTTTTGGAATGAACAAATAGGCTTGAACAATAGGACTTTAAATCTGTGTCACAATCAATTTAAGAGAATGTACTGGGAAAAAAGGCATGCCATAAAGGCATGCCGCAAAGTAACCTTAGCAAAGCAACCTCTGCAAATGCCTGTCTAATGGCAAGGCAATAACTGTTTTATTTATAATTATCTAAAAATATTATCTAAAAAGAGTAATTTTACAGCCGCACAGTGGTGCAATAGGTAGCTCCAGTTATCTTCTGTGTGGGTTTTGCCTCACTTCCCAGAAACATGATAGTGGTTGGATTGAATATCTGAAGTGTCCCTAGGTGTGAATGAGTATGTGAGTGTCTGTGAGCATGGTGTATTTCTGCCTTGTGCCCACTTTTCCTGGGATAGGCCCCAGGTCCTCCAAAACTCTGACCAGGACAGGTTACAGAGGATGAATGAATTAATGAATAAATCTACACACCCTAGTCTTCTTGAACATTAATGTTTAGGGCTGCACCAGTAAAACTGGGACAAAACTGGGAAATAAACTTATAACTGCTTTATCCTGGTCAGGATCGTGATGAGCATACCCCAGGAGCACTGGGCTTGAGGCAGGAATGGGTCATGCCCTGGATGGGCATTAATGCACACCCATTAACACACTCATTCACACCTAGGGACAAATTATCTTAGCTAGTCAAGCTACTGGCATCTTTCTGGGAGGTGGGAGGAACCCAGAGAACCTGGAGGAAACTCATGAGGACACAGGGAGAACATGCACAGAAACCCCACGCAGACAGTAACTCAAGCTCAGGATTGAACCTGGGACCATGGAGCTGTGAAGCAGTAATGCTACTTGCTGTGCAGCCCTGCCATAAACTCTGGACTATTGATGTGAATTTGTTTTTTTTTGCATTAACCTTTGATACAGACCTGGTCTATAAAGTTGCATTTAAAAATCAGAATTATGAAATTACAAGCTTAACTGTAGTTCAGTAACAATAATTGTGCATGCAATCTGTATTCCTAACTGACTGATTAAGAGTCAGTTAGGAATACAGATTGCATGCACAAATTAATGTAGCCAAGTGGCATGTATTTTATTGAATATGGCTTAATAGAGTTTGTTATAAATTCTGCCACTAGTACAGGCAAAAAAAAAGTAAGATACACTAAAGAGTAAACTTTGTTACTGCATACCTGCTACTGTTACAGCTTCTCAAAAATGTAGTTTTTTTTTTTTTTCATAAAAAAAAAAGATTTTTTTTTTTTTTTTTTGCATTCACATTGGCCATGTCAGGGTTACAAGAACTTGTCTGACAGTGTGTTTGGACAGTGGCTGCTACTTAAGTCTGAAGCATGCATATTTGAGACGCACCTGTGTCTTGGTCGAACTCTGCTGCTCATGCACAAGTAGCATACAGTATACCTGTTTAAGCTGCAGTTAAGTCTATAGTTAATTCTTGGGTCTAAATACTAATATGCACAATTTCCTTATTTTTCGATAACTCCATAAAGCAAGCTTTAACTCAACTCTAAACACAGCCATAATTATCTAGAATATACAAATGGTTCAAATGGTTAATTCTCATACAAATTCACCAAGTACATACACATGGATAAGAGTCTAATTGCTGCAAACCATTAACTGAGGCCAACTTTTTTTCTCTTACAGATTCTGCTTTCAATCCAAGATACTTGATAAATAAAGCAGTGTGCAATGTGATCTGCTCAATCATATTTGGCCAGAGATTTGAATCTGATGACTCACAATTAAAACTTCTCATCGACGCTGTAGATAACTACTTCAAAGTTCTAAGTAGTCCACTTGGACAGGTACTGTATTGTTACTATTCATTCTTTAAATACATGTTACATAACATGAGCAGATAAGGTGCTGAAATAAATATATATGATGTAAATGTAGATCATGAGATATTCACTCACAGTCCGCTTTAATAGGAACACTTGTACACCTGCTCATTTATGCACTCACTTAACCATTCAGCCAATCATATGGCAGCAGCATAATGCATAAAATCATGCAGATACAGGTCAAGAGCTTCAGTTAATGTTCACATCAAACATTAGAATGAAGAAAAAATGTGAACTCTGTGACTTTAACCATGACATGACTGTTGGTGCCAGAGGGGCTGGTTTGACTATTTCAGAAATGCAAAGTATCGGCGCAGCTCTGTCTTATTCATCTGATGTACCACACCTTTGTTTCAGTGTTGATGATTCTGGTTTTTGGTCTGGTTTCTCTTTCTGGTTTTTGTGAATCTGGCTTTGCCTTGGATATCCTGTGTGTAAATCGCCTGAACTTCTGCCTGTTCTTGACTATGCTTTTGCTAAGTGACTTTTGGAACTGTTTGCTGATTGCCATCTTTAATAAAAATATCACCTGCAGCTGTCTCAGGTGCCTGAGGGCATTTTAGATTGTCATTCTAGTATATACCTTTGCATCCATCATGCCCAAGACCATTTTACCAGTTTGTTGGCCATATTAAGGAAACATTGAGCAATTTATTATTCAACAAAGATTTTTAATGGTGTAAAATGACATACAGTCAGCTCCAGAATTATATGGAACCTGTAAAGTTGGGTAAGAAAATCTAACCTTTTTTTTCATTCATTCATTTTCTACATTAGCTGCTTTATCTTATTCAGGGTTGTGGCAGATCTTGAGCCTGTTTCTGGGGAGCATTGGATGTTAGGTGGGACTTTACCCTGGTTGGGATTCCAGTCTATGACAGCAAATCTAAACTTTAACTGAACTACATTTATTCTAGGAAATTAAAAAAAAAAACCAAACAGCTTGTGGGACAAGGATCATACCAAGACCTGTGTGGACACTGGTGCACAATAGTAAGAATAGTTAGAGAATAGACTACAACACAGGTTAAACACAAAACCAAACTAAGAAAAACCAGCAATTCCAAGTAAAGAATAACAGCAAATTTTATATTAAAGTAAACTTTAATATAATCAGAATTATATTATAAACTATATACCGATCAGCCATAACATTAAAACCACCTGCCTAATATTGCATAGGTCCCCCTTGTGCCACCAAAACAGCTGTGAGCCATTGAGGCATGGACTCCACAAGACCTCTGAAGGTGTGCTGTGGTATCTGGCACCAGGACCTTAGCAGCAGATCCTTTAAGTCCTGTAAGTTGTGAGGTGCGGCCTCCATGAATCAGACTTGTTTGGCCAGCACATCCCACAGATGCTCGATCGGATTGAGATCCTGGGAATTGGGAGGCCAAGTCAACACCTTGAACTCTTTGTCACGTTCCTCAAACTATTCCTGAACAATTTTTGCAGTGTGGCATTATCCTGCTGAAAGAGGCCACTGCCATTAGGGAATACTGTTGCCATGAAGGGGTGTACTTGGTCTGCAACAGTGTTTAGGTAGGTGGTATGTGTCAAAATAGCATCCACATGAATGCCTGGACCCAAGTTTTCCCAGCAGAACATTGCCCAGAGCATCACACTGCCTCCGCCAGCTTACCTTCTTCCCATAGTGCAGCCTGGTGCCATCTCCCAGGAAAGCAACGCACACCTACCCGGCCGTCCACATGATGTAAAAGAAAATGTGATTCATCAGACCAGGCCACCGTCTTCCATTGCTCCTTGGTCCAGTTCTGATGATGGTGCCCATTGTAGGTGCTTTCAGCGGTAGACAGGGGTTAGCATGGGCAGCCCTATACACAGCAAGCTGTGATGTACTGTGTGTTCTGTCGTCTTTCTATCATAGCCAGCATTAACTTTTTCAGCAGTTTGTGCTACAGTAGCTCCTCTGTGGGATCGAACCAGACGTTCTAGCCTTCACTCCCCATGCGCGTCAGTGAGCATTGGGCGCCCATGACCCTGTTGCCGGTTCACTGGTTGTCTTTCTTTGGACCACTTTTGGTAGATACTAACCACTGCATACCGGGAACACCCCACAAGACCTGCTGTTTTGGAGATGCTCTGACCCAGTCATCTAGCCATCATTTGGCCCTTGTCAATGTTGCACAGATCTTTACGCTTGCCCATTTTTCCTGCTTCTAACACATCTTGCTGCCTAATATATCCCACCCCTAATCAGGTGCCACTGTAATGAGATAATAAATGTTATTCACTTCAACTGTCAGTGGTTTTAATGTTATGGCTGATCGGTGTAAGGTAAAAACTAGAGAATCTAAGCCAAGAATTGGAGACATAACGAGATATATAGTATAAACTGGACAAACCCAGAAGTAACAAGACTTTGACATAAACATGCTGCTAATGCTAAAAATGATGCATAAATTACTAGAAAAGTGAGGCAAGGTTAGACAAAGCAAGGCTTATCTAAGCATAACAAATGTACAGCATTTCTAAGAGTGATTGACATAAGGAAAAAGGCATGAAAGTTACAAGACTTTGTGATTCTCTGTGTCTGAGGTATTTCAACAGTCTTTGATTACAGATGATGATTAGTAGCCAGGGAGTTCTGGAGTGTTCATCTGCCAGTTCAGCCGGAATGTCTGCTGATGGTGATAGATCTGTGACTCCATGTGACTCCATGCCCCAGGAGGACTGAATTTAATGCACAGTTTATATAACATATCTGTCCTCCTCTTGCTTTTTAATACTGTTTTTCCCCTTACAGGCCTATAATATTTTTCCCAAAATTGTGGGCCTTTTCCCTGGACAACTCCATGACATGTTTTCAAAAGTGGAAGAGGCCAAAAATGTATTTAAGCTTGAAGCAGAGGCACGGATGAAGACATTGGACCCTTCTTCACCCCCTAAAGATTTCATTGAGGCTTTCCTTTTACAAATGGAACAGGTAAAATCATTCTTTGCATAGTATTGATGTTGTCGTAGTATATGTTGTCAAATAGCCATAATAACTCTATTCAGCATGAGCTATCTTGTGGTTGGCAAAAAAACACTACATTTTGGTATATCATTAAAAGCTACTGAAGGACTAGTGGTTAGGCCACAGCACTCTCACTGTTGTGGCCCGGGTTCAATTCCTGGCCAGGGAACCAAACCCAGCCACTGGGGTCGTGTGGAGCAGTGTGCTCTCAGTGCTGGTCCCAAGCCCAGATAAAAATTGTGGAGGGTTGCATAAGGAAGGGCATCTGGCATAAAAACTATTCCAAATCAAATACATGGATCAATGGGTGGTGACCCCTAATGGGAGCAGCCAAAAGAGGAACATTATAAGCTACTGAAATAAGAATAGAAAGACTCTCAGATTGATCATTTTACCTCTGTTTTTGCACTGTACACAGACATATTCCAGAAGGCAGCATGTTTCTGTCTCAGTAAGCAGATAAAGATAACTAAAAATAGGTCTCTTTTGCAGGGGAAACATAACCCTAATACAGAATTTCATTTAAATAACTTAGTGGGCACAACATGGGGCATGCTTAGTGCTGGCATTGAGACTACCTCTTCTACAATCAGACAGAGCCTGCTGCTAATGATGAAGCACCCAGATGTCCAAGGTAAGAATTGTATCACATTGTATGTTTGTTTTATACATTGAAGATATATTACCCGGAGTTTTCATGTTCTCGCAATGCTTCGGGGGTTTCCTCCTCCAGTCCAAAGACATGTGTTGTAGGCTGACTGGCATTTCCAAATTGTCCGTAGTGTGTGAATGGGTGTGTGAGTGTGTGTGCAATTGTGCCCTGTGATGTGTTGGCGCCGCGTCCAGGGTGTCCCCCACCTTGTGCCCCAAGTCCCCTGGGATAGGCTCCAGACTCTCCTACGACCCTGTGTAGGATAAGCGGTACAGAGAATGGATGGATGGATTACTTGTAGTGTAAAGCATTACTGGAGGAGCAGTCAGTATTATGCATTGTCATACAGTATGATATTACAGTGATGTCTATAAAGGTATCTGATACACGTGTCATGCTGTGTTATGCCCGCCATCTTGAATAGCACGAGTCCAGAAGGAGATTGACGAGGTGGTGGGGCGAGAGCGGTGCCCTTCCTTCGATGACAGACAGAACATGCCATATACAGATGCAGTCCTTCATGAAATTCAGCGCAACACGGATATTGCTCCTACCGCTGTTCCACATAAAATGTTCTATGACACGGAGTTGAAGAACTATCTCATACCCAAGGTACCTTGACTTATGCACACTGTGATTTTCAGAGATTTATGTGCATATTTTATTGCACAATAATTTCAAGTGTTTTAAAAAATTTTGCCCACTTTCTTTGCTGATAGTTCTGTTTTTACTTCAGGGAACCATTATTCTTCCTTTGCTGACTTCGGTGCTTTCTGACCCTGAGCTATGGAAGAACCCTGACAATTTTGACCCAGAGAACTTCCTGGATGAAGAGGGAAGATTCAAAAGAAATGATGCATTTGTTGTGTTTGGAATGGGTGAGCTCAAACCTAGGATGTGCATCATGAATTTACTTTTTTTTAAAACTCTCCACCCTCATTTACAATTAATGTTCTGAGCATACCTGTGTATCTAGTGCTGTTCATGTTTGGCCTTTCCACTATCTGCTATGTTTTGTTTTTTTTAAAAAAAATGTAAATGTGGACTTTAATTGGCCTTTAAAAAGAAATAACTGAAAATCACTTGTGTAAAGTAGTAGTGTAAGTTTACCTTTTGATAAGAAGTCATATTAGACCCAGACCAAGACAACCCAGATAAACACAAGATGCAGAGCAGGGGCTCCCCCTAGAAATGATCCTGACTGACACTGCTATTCTATGGTATTTATATCTGGTTTCATTCAAAAAATATACTGATAGAAAAATAAATACAGCACTTAATGTGGGACTTATTTTCATTCATGCAATTAATCGAATTAGCTAGTCACATGGCAGCAGTGCAATGCATAAAATCATGCAGATACAGGTCAAGAGGTTCAGTTAATGTTCAAGTCAAACATCACCATGGGGAAAAAGTTTGTTCTTTCTAACATTCATGCCTCTATTCTATCTGTTTTGCATAGGGAAGCGGGCCTGTTTGGGTGAAGCTCTGGCCCGAGTGGAACTCTTTATTACGTTCACCTCCCTCCTCCAGCGCTTCACCTTCAGGGCCACTCAGCCGGTGGAAGAGATTGACACCACTCCTGCCACTTGCAGCTTTGGCCGTATGCCTCGTTTCTATGAGTGCTATGCTGTGCATAGGAAATAAACAGCTGGTATCTTGATTATTCATTTTTTCTATTATACAGTTGCAGGAATATAAAAATAGAGAGAGATTAATAGAGATCTTTCACAAAAATATATAATGCTGTTTCATCCATGGACATTGCATTCTTGTATTTCATGATATAATGACAATTTGTCGTAATGAGAATCTATAACAAAATAACCATCTTTGATACAGTCTCTTTTGAACAATGTTGTCAGTCCTAATTGTATCTGTTTTTGAAAGTGTGCAATAATTGCAATATTCAGAGCAAACTTGCATAGAGATGAGTTAATAGTGAAATTGCACACTCTGACATATGTATGGACTTAAGGGTGACTCAGACTATTATTCAAGTGCTGTTTTATAACCTGCTGAATGATGAGGGTGGAAAATATGTAAAACCGAACCAAATTTGTCGTGATTAATGTGATATTTACAACTAGGAATATTCATGCAGCAATATATTGGCAATATACTAGACTTCTACGGAATTAGATTTATGTTTGAACGCTTGCCATCTTCTCATTCATATATCATTGTATTAGCCTTTTTAATTTTTGTTTTTTAATGTTTAAACTTTCCAATTTCCCTACAAGCAAGTACTGTTACTGTTACTGTTAATCTCAATGGGCCACCTAGAAAAATCAGCTTAAGCAGTTGCATAACCTGACTCTAATTACAAGTAACTTCAATTCATTGACTTAATTTAAGTCATTTACTGAATTACATTAGAGCAGTATGGAATTCACTATTGCTTTGCTGCCTCCCTACAATCATCTCCAGTAATAAACTGACACTGTTACCTTTATATAAGATTTATTAATTCTTCTAATAATTACCATATAAATTATTTCTGATAAGGCATATTCTGAGACCATTTCTCCACTGTTTTGTTTATACAAACATAATAAAAATAAAAAATAAACTGAAATAAACAGGTACTTGTTTTTTCATTGTGACTGTAGCAGTACTGGGTAAACTAGACTTTTAGAAAATTTAGAGCCATCAAGGATTCTTCATTTATCTCTGGTGAAACGTTCCTTTTCAAAAAGAGTGTTTGCTTTAAAAAAAAGTTCTAACTAAGCAATATTGCACGAGCAAGAGTGTGGTTATACTGAATATTGCCACAGCTGTGATTTGGCCATAGCTATTTACAGTCATAGTGATGTTCAGTATAACAGCATGATTGCAAGTGTGATATTGCATTTATATAACAGTTCTATAAACAAGAAATGAATAGTGAGTAACTGACATTTCGGACACAAAATGGCCAAATGTTTTGTTTGTTTTTGCGCTGCTGATGGAAGTAGATCCCAAAGAAATCATACTCACTGATAGCCCGTCAGTTAGCTGTTGCAAGGGTTGGAATTTTACATGCCGAATCAAGTTAAATCAGTGGCAGCTGTTTACTGTAAAATGTAATATTCCACACACTAATGTAGCTAACTAAAATATAAACTTTTAAACCTAAAATTACAATTGAGCACATTCCAGGCTTTGCCCATGCAGCTGTTTTTCTGGAGGGCCTCTAAAATGACACAATGTCCTTGACGTATACAGAAATATAACTTTTTTTCATATCACTTTTTTGCTTTATGACAAACATTAGGTAGGAGATCTGTGTATGCATTTTGGTGCACAAACACCAACAACAACCAAATTTAAAGATTTTGCCTGCAACACTGAACCTCCAGAACTCCAAACTCTTCCTGAAGCAGAACACCTGATTAGTGGCTATTACTTTTGTCTAGGTAGGACAAATCTTTACTTGTGTGACAGAATATTTAAAAAAATCAATGACAAAAATTTTACAATATACAGTATGTGCATGTTGAAGTTCATGTCTATTGCAATCAAACTAAATAGCCATTAGACTGCCCACAGATTCATGCAGTGAATAATGATATTATGAGTGTATGGAAGGCACAACACCCAAATTTGGATTAAACGCTCAGTGAATCAAGAAGCAAGAAGTAGGCAAGTAATTTAGGCAAGTAAACTAACCAGTCATTAATGCAACTATTAAGCCCCAACAGGCACAATGATGCCACCTAGTGGTTGTAAATAAATCCTATAACTTTGGCTAGATTGCAGGATTGTTTGAATGCTACCCTTCCTAGGTCCTATGTGATGTGTAAATGACTGTTAGATGACATAAATTCCATGAAGTTGTACTTTATTCTACAATTGGAAAGTTTTGCATTGTGAAGCATACTAAACTCAAGTCATACATAGTGCTGCCTGCTGTGGGTGGCTAATCAAAAGAGAGACATTGCAATAATAGAGCATATTTTGTTAAACACACCTCTAACCAGTCATGACTATATAACCATAAGCTCTTTTATAAAAAAAACTCACTTACACTGTAATATTTTACTTTTCATTTTGTGAAGGAGATATTTTCATGAGCAGTTTACATCTTACTTTAGTTAGAGAGCCACTTAGTGTTGGAATGACATAGCACTTATCTTTACATCATTGTGCTAAACCCACCTACCAAGTTTGGTGTCAAAACAGCAAAGCATTGCTAAGATACAGGTATCACTGGCAACAGATATGAATACAAAAAAAATCCTTAAATAACTCTCGTGAGGCCCAGTCTCATGAACAACTTATTCAAGTTCGATGATTTAGATTTAAGAGTTTTCATTCAAATTCAAGCTATCACTTCCTATATACTGGACATAAACCCATAATGTGTGTTACATAGAAAGCACTTGCTTATAGTTAAATAATTATAGATTACGTCTTTTTTCTTATGGAAAATCAAATTATATTATATATATATATTATAGCACCACATCTTTAACTATTTACCTATTTGACGAATACTATTGTTTCTATTAAGAACGCAGACAAAATGAAGCATT